CCACAGCTTCCTCGTGCCAGAATACACAAAGGAGGTCACAAAAGTAAGCCAGGCTGTGCTGAAGGCCAAAATCCAGAAGCTGGCTGCCAACCTCGAGATCTGCACCAGGGCAATGGATGAAGTCTGTGACCTTCTTGAGTCCAGAACAGAGCTTTCCCCATGCACAAGGGGACTCAACTTGGGTGCTAAAACCACTGCTGAGATCCAGAGACCATCCAGCTGAAACAGTGTCTGGCTCATACTAAAAATGGGTTTGGAGACATTACATTATTAATTGTGACCATTAGCACTGCTACCTGTTGCTATTGTAAAATCTGTGGTGCTGGTGCACTCAGGTGCACACATCTCGTGTGCTTTATCTATATCTGAACACAAACTCCTTCCTGATAGGAAGCTAAGGATTACACACACACACACCCCACCAACTGACAGTAGACACCTGAATCAAGTTGGAAGTTATGATGGACACATGGACTATGATGGACACAGCAGCAGATCTCAGAACCTGAAGGCTGGGGTAGGTGGATGTTCCTCAGACCCATGTTTCCCCAGCCATCTGCCCAACTCTGCTTCCCCAAAGCAGCAAAAAGAAGTGGGTCGGAAGGCTGATGAAATACCTGGTGCTGACTGAACCTGGTCTGTAAACAAGTTACGAATCCATGAGTGGTACAAGGACTGGGGTACCCTAAAAAGTCCAGCAGCTGCCAATTTCCAATAGAGTACAGTCCTATTACCAAGGTACATCTGGAAAGGCTGTAGGAAGAAGCAGCTTCAGATATGACAGAATGTATGGATGGTTCATCATCCTAGGGTGAAATAGCAGGGCCAGAATTTGTTATCTCTTTTGAAGAAACCTCTCCAGACTGCAAATTGTGATGTTTGTGTTCTATTTATTTACATGAGATTATTTTAAGGTTTTGATATTGTATTTAAGGGTGTATATAGTTCTTTCTTTAAAAAGGATGTCTCTGCTCCAAAGGAAGGCAGATGTTCTTATAGTGAAAGCAAGTCTGTGGCATGTGAGAGCAAGTTATCTGCTACTTGGCTGTGAGGGAGGGCAAGTCCCTGTAAGAAAAGGAAAGTATGACCTCAATGCTGGTAGTTATAAAATAGGTGAAACATCGTCAACCAATGGCAACAGATCTTAGGAACCAAAGCAGAGAGAAAAACAGGTCAGTGGCCCTGGGATCATTCTGCCTCAGGACATTGGTAGAAGAAAGCAGTTACAAGTCTTGCAGCAGGAAGGGAAGCGTGGGTTGCTGTTACTGGTCTGAGCTGGAGCCCAGCTGTGACAAGAGCACAGCAGAGAGGTGGAGGTGCCATTCTCCATGCAGTCAAGCAGCCTGTGAGACCCACAGTGGATTATCTGTGAGGAATGAGGCAGCACTCATGGAGAACTACACATACTCCTAGCAATGCTTCCCAGGGAAGGCTTCATGTTAGAGAAATATATACTGGTACTAATACTCAAGAGGGGTACAGAGGAGTAGGATGATTCAGTGGCAGAGCAGGAGCAGGAGCAAGGAGTGGGACCCTGTTTTAAGTGACTGGTCCGCTAAATATGCCCTTTGTGATTTTTGACCCCTCAGTATCTCAGTTCCCTGTCTAAAAATGGGGATAGTAGCACTTCCCTACCTCACAAAAATGTTTCTGGGACAAATATTGAAAAGTGCTCAAGTACTGTGATGATGGGGATCATGTCAGTATCTGGAAGAGGTACAAGGAAGAGACCCTGAAATTAGCTTGAGGCAACTAAAAGAGTTAATGCAGAGATAACTCCACCTCCAAAAGCATGCCCCAGTGGATAAGGGAAACTTCCCTGCACAGGCATGAATCAAAATGATCAGAAGAACCCACTACGTAATTCTGTAACCCTACACAAATTCTTAGGAAGAGCAAGACTCCATCTCACAAAGCTTGAATCCTTGCCCTTTTTGTCTCTTATTCTCATTGCATCAACATTTGTTTTCATACATCAGAAGAATAAAAGCTTTGGTCTCTAAGAGTGTGACTCAGATGCTTGTAATACCTGTGCCTGTTTACCAGAAATGAACACATACACTGCTGATTCAATTAAATGAATATGAAGCACTTTTGTGTCAGTGTCTCTCTGCACTGACATTCATGCTCCAGGCATTGAAGCCAGGGACCAATATGAGCAGTTCAGAAGGCAAGGATGAAGAGTGGGGTCATCAGCTCCATGCCACATACAGCTGGCATTTGTGTATGAGTGTATGCTTTTATGTCTGTGTGAATGCATGTGCTGGTATACACATTGCCCATGTACACTGTGGATGTTGGTCTCTGACATGCAAACACTGAGGTACTTCCATGTCAGCCCATAAGTGTGTTTTTGGAGTGTGAACTGCACACTATGCAAGGCAGACACAACACAAAATTTTTCCTAATGCTTCAGCTTATCACCAACTAACTCCATCAGATCAGTTACAACCTTAATGTGCTTCTGAGATGGCTGGTTTTATCATCACAGAGAAAACTATGTAACACATACTTATCCTACCCGCTCCCTAGTTTTCTGGCAGTGCAGTTTTGTCCACACAGGAAACAACACAAGAACAGCTCTGAATGAACCAATCTGATAGGCAGAGGGATTTGCATTTGATAGCTTAGAGCTTCACCAGGGCTGGTTTGCTCTGCTCAGCACAGTCCTGCACTGCAATCACAGCCACTGTTTCTGCAGCTGAGAACAAATCAGACACTTTTGCTTCCATTCTCAGCCACAAAGGCAAACAATCATGCTTCTGTTCAGTTTTTCCCAAGGCTAATTGTTCACTCCAAGTCAGGATTTGGGTTGTTGCACAGTGCTGCTGTGAGAGTGTAATTGAGTTCAAGGTACCACATTCTCCTCGGCCGGGTCTCAGCCACTCCCCTCTCCAGGTTTGTTTGCTACGAAAATCCAAAGGGAGGCTCACGCAGAAAGTGGGGCCCATGGGCTTGACAATCTGTAATCCTACACAAAACAGAGGAGCTGCGAGACTTAATTTGTTCCAAAACCTGTCCAGTGCTCTTGGACACCTTCTAAGCCAGGTGTTGCTGTGAATCTAAGGCTGCACTCTCACACTTGAGCTACACTTGATCTGCCAGCAGATAGGGCAGGAGGTGGTCAGATCCTCCTCACCAGAATGTCCTAATAGTGTCTCTCTGGGCATTTCAGTGGGTAGATAGGGCCAATTACCATTAACTGTGACCTACTGTACACACTGTCCATCTTGTCTTATTATGCACCCCTCATGAAATAGCTGACATTCTATCCACACTAAAATTCATCTGCTGCAGATGCTCTCACCCTGTCCCCCCCAAGGAAGATTGAGCTGTAACATGCAATAGAGCTAGGAGCATATTTGGTCAAAAGCCAAGCTTAAAAGCCCTGGAGTGAAAATTTCTAAATCCTGTATAATCTACAGTGTCCTGTGCTGAAAAGTACAAAAAGGGAATTACTATTTAGAAGTTGCATATATATTTTATCACACATGAATGCTCCCAACAGCAGTTTAGGACAGGAGAAAACTCTCATTCGAACATATCTATTTACGAAAGGGAATTACATAAACTGGAATTTCACCAGAATAAAATTGCTCCACCCTGCTCCCCACCACAACAGCATAATATTATATGGGCAATGAGTTCAACAAGCAGTGACTTCCTGTCACATCCCTGACTCCATTTCCTGAGGCATCTCAGTGACCTTTACAAGGGTTCATGTCAGAGTACTGGCCAGGCTCAGCCTTTAGCACTAATGATATACAGCAAGTTCATAGCTCAGACTGCTGTAATTTTTGAAACGTGGTCACAACTAGCATCTACACGGGGTGCTTATTGCTGTTTGTTTTAATTTATTATTTTAAAATCATTGCTCCTGAGCACAGTGGGATGCAGAAGTTTCATTCCGCTCCTGCCCATGAATTGTTTCAGGTTTCCTCTCCTTTCCCTGTCATGCAGAGAGTTTGTTCATATCTTCTCTCACTTTCCGCATTGTTCTGGGAGCAGAGGAAATGCCACGCTTGGAATCCAGTGACACATGCCCAAGTACATCAGCATTTCCACTGAGAGCACACCCAGATAGCCTTCCCAGAGAGAGGGAGGCCTGCTCAGACATTCAGTCATGAGTTTCATTTTGCAGCCAGCTCTGCTGTCCTTTTGAAGCCTGAGCTCTTGCATAGGTTATCTTTCTTTTCCCTAAAACAAAGGAAACTCACCTAGCTGCAAGGTTGCCCTGCTGCAATCAGCACTGGGACACAGATCAGAGGCTACACCCAGAGCACATGGAAACCAATGAGCCCAGAAACTTCCATCAAGAAATGATATTTTGATGCTGCGCTCCCTGGAAGGTCAATAAATGCATCACCTTTTTCACCTCTCACTGTGCACTTGCAGGCCTGAGTCACAACAGCAGTGGTCAAGAGAGCTGGGAGAGTGTTTACATCTACTCCCATCCCCTATTCTCTCATTTGATGCTGTGAGTTGCCATAGTTCACTTTATTTTGTATTTCTGGCACTTCGAAAATTCACACTGCCAATTACCATAAACAGGAAAACAAGGTGGTATAATGACAGTTCTTTTCTTTTTTCCCTTCTCTAGTGCTTCAAAATGTTTCATACCAGCGCTTCTGAAGAAGTTAATTTGCTCTTTATATGTCTTACATATGTAAGTTTATATATATTCTTGTATTTTTGTATATTTAGCAGCTCCTTTTGCGTTGTTCTTTCCCAGCTGCAGAATGTGTGAGCACAGAGCACCATCACCCACTGCCTGAGCAGTGCAGCGCTGAGCTTGCGGTCAATGCCGAGCAGGAACGTTTCCATACAGCCAATTCAGCGTGCCCTTATCCCAGGACAGGTGTAGATCCGTAACTCCCCCTTCTCTGGAGACCTCTCGGAGTTTAGGGTAAATCCGCCCGCTCCGGCAGGCTCTTTCTCCGGAACTACAAATCCCATCACACCCCGAGAGGACTACAGCTCCCAGCGTGCTCTGCGCCGCCACGGCGGGGACGGTCCAAGATGGCGGCGGGAGAGGAGGAGGGGGCGGTGGCGGGGACGGAGCCGGAGTCAGAGGCGGCGGTGGAAGAGCTGCGGAGCTTCAAGGACCTGGTGAGGCTGGGACAGAGCCGCTTCTGCGCCCGGTGCTCTTCTCCCGTCCCGAGGAGCAGCGTCCCGCCCCCGGCACGCAGCTCAGGCCGTGGGGAGCTTCCCACGCAGCGCCGTGTGCGCGGCGGGGGGGGACACGTCGCGGTGCACGTTTGGATCGGGCACAGCGGTGCTGTGCCCGGGCAGGAGGGGGGGGAGTCGCGCCGCCGACCGGGACAGCCTGGCGGTGCTGCTCCGATTAGCGCTCCTCAGGCAGCTGCCTGTATTTTCAGTTCTGTTAACTTGCCGTGGCGTTTTTCGTTTCCCATGGGACACCCCCTGAGATGAAGAGAGGCAGTTCTGTGTGTGTGTGTGTGTGTGTGTAAAGTTCCCTGTGTTAACTAGGGTAAACGGACTGTTTTCTTCCCGATGACAGTCCTCTCTAACTGTTTTGAACAAATCCTATGAAGCTACCGATGGAGGTGGGGATCACTGTGGGCAGCCTGACCTTTCAGATGGTTGAACTGGGGGCCTGATGGGGTTGGTTTGTGCTAGAGACAAGCTTGGCTCTGTTGCAGCATGTATTTAACTTTAGTCTGTGATTTAATTTATGTCTTCTTGGGGACGTCTGTTTCCCTTTTCTCTTTTCACTAATGTGCAGGGAGTGACAGATGTGCTGTGTGAAGCTTGTGACCAGTTAGGATGGAAGGTGCCAACGAAGATCCAAGTTGAGGCTATTCCAGTGGCTCTCCAAGGTGAGCAGTGTGCTTCTTTGATCCTGAATCAGGGAATGTCCCAGGAGCTCTATGTGAATGAATTTTGCTGAGTGAGAAGGGTCAGAGATGAGAGTGTCCCAGCTTCTTCATCACTGGGGATCTCTGTTTAGAAGTAGTCTTTGTGTTCGTTCTGTCCTCTACTCAGGTGGAGCTTGGAATACTAGTTTATCCTATAAAACTCCCTGCAATCCAAACTTTCAAGTGGGTACAAACATGATTTCTTGAGTGTTCACTCTTGTTGTGTAGTTCTGACACTCTGTGTTAAATAGGATTATTATGAATCATTTGAACTCTTAGTCTGAATTGATCGTTTTCTTTCTGAAATACCCAAGGATATGCAGGAAGCTTCCAATAGGTTTTGGACTGTGCCTCTTCTGATAGAGACCTACAGTGTGTGTGTGCATCTGAAACTGGAGATACTTTGGCTGGTTCCGTAGCGTGTATGATCTGCTTTGCTGTGAGCAGGCAATTCTTTGAAATTAGATTTCTGTAATGAGTCATAACCAAACTACAGTGACTTTCTCTAAGCATCCTGGAATTAAAAGAAAATACATTCCTGAATTCAGCAAACATTTCTGCCTCTAGAAGTGTTTTATTTTAAAACAAAAGCCCCTAAAATACTGTGAAGCAGGAACAGAACAATGTAGTGACAGAATGGGAACAAACTTTCAGTATCTACTCTGTCCTAGTACTTAACTGTTGTCAGACTCTTTTATTCCACATATAAGGTTCTCGGGGGGGGGGGGAACCGTAAAACCAACCAAAAGTAAGACTGCATTCCTGAGAAGTTGTCTCCAGTGTAAGGCCTGTTGGTAGCATGTTCTTGTGAGCTGTACAAACTCAGGAGGTCATAATGGATTCTACTGATGAATTCCACCCTGTTGCCTGCACAGTTTTTGGGCAAAGGACTTGCTGTTCTAACCCTTCCTGCTGCAAACTGATTTAGATTCATTAATCAATGGCACAGTTGTGGTTTGTGAAATGTGAGTTTGGTAGTGCTGTTGTCTTGTAGTTCCTGTGCCAAAATATCAGACACTGGAGTCTGTTTCTTTGTAAGCCAGTAAACAGACAGCGTTTGGACTAGAATATCAAGACAGAGCCATTAAGCTGTAAATTGACAGGCAGATTTGAGACATCATAAAATAAAGCTTATTTTAAAGTTTGTATGAAACCCTGTATATTAGCAGAAGTTTAACTAGAGAATTGAGTATTGAGACTGTAATTATTGTACAAATGAAATCACAGTCTAAAAAAGCTTCAGAATTGCTCTGAAATTCTTTGGTTTGACCACTTGCTCTTTTTTACGTTGTGTGTCTTCCTTTTTTTCTCTGTCCTTAGGGAATTCTTGTGCTTTATTGCATAGTACTTTAAAGACTTCTTTCTCTGCTCTAGATGTGTAACAGTTTTTTGCCTTCCTTGCTGCTTCTTGTAGGCAGAGACGTCATTGGACTGGCAGAAACTGGCTCTGGAAAAACAGGAGCTTTTGCTTTGCCAATTCTTCAAGCACTGCTGGAAACACCTCAGCGGCTGTTTGCTCTTGTCCTCACACCAACAAGGGAGCTGGCCTTTCAGATCTCAGAGCAGTTTGAAGCTCTCGGATCCTCTATTGGTGTCCAAACTAGTAAGTAACTTACTAGTATTGGACCAGTTTTCCTGAAGACTAAAGTTAGTCAGGTCAGGATTGCAAAGTTAAAAATAGAGGATTTGTATGGAGGGTTGAACAAAAAGTGAGAAAAGCTTGTGATGCTGGAAGACAGATCTGGTATCAGGTTTGCAAAAGAAACACTCTATGGTCTTTCCTCAAGGAGAAATCTGCAGCTCTTCTGCATTTTATGTCTAAACAGTTAAAGATGGAAGTAGAAGAGAATGTTCTCAATATTAGGTTTGTGTCCAGTGAAATTGCATAGAGCTCCCTGCTGTAGTGTGATTAGTTTAATATTTCTTTCAGACTGCCTGTATGGATTCTTTAGATACTCTCATTATTATTGTTGTTGTTATTATTATTATTATTATTATATTACTACTACTAATAATAGCTTTATGGGCATTTTTAGAATTTCTAGATTTTTCTAGCTGAGTTAAGGTGCAAGGAATAGATTCTGCCTGTGAAAATAAAATACCTGGGGCAAGTAAGGACTTAATTGTATGGCATAAGAGGCCTGGGAAGGTCAGGTATACTAAAATAAAGTGAATTCTTATAAATTCTCATAAAAATAAGTAGTCTTTCATTTGTACAGAGTTGTGGATGGTGAGGAGTAGGAGCAAACACTATAGTGCCTGTGGCTGACTGGTGCTACGCTGAGGGATTCACTATATTCTGTTTGTCCTGCAGCTGTTATTGTGGGTGGAATTGACACAATGTCTCAATCTCTGGCCTTAGCCAAGAAACCACATGTTATAATTGGTAAGTTAATGTGGGGGGGATGTGGAGTGTTAATATTATCAAACTGCAGTTACCCAAAGACAGCCAGCCAGAAGGTTTTGTTAGAGTACATCTTTCATTTGCTTTTGTCCTGAAATCTCAGTGTTGGTTTGCTAATGTTTCTAAAGTATACACCAATAACTTTGTTGCTACAAGCTCATTCCAAAGCATTCTTGCAAGACCTCCTTTGGCTTGTTTTTTCATTCTCCTCAAGTATTTCAAATCCTGGTCTCATCCTTCGCAGTGTAGCTCATTTACGGTCTGTTGTGTGTTGTGTTTTTTTAAGGGGAGGACATTCTTCTGAGGGTCTGACTCCATTAGTCTTATTTCAAAACACTCTCTGAAGATGTCCTATGAAAGAGTTATTCCCACAAAGCAATCTGCCTTTACTTTTCTTGAGCAAAGAATCCCATTTCTGTAATGAATGACTATCTTGCCTGTTTGGATCTTTCTTTTCCTTTGCTTTAATTCAATTTGCTCTCGTGATGTTGTTGGTAGCAACCCCTGGCCGTCTGGTTGATCATCTGGAGAACACAAAGGGCTTTAACTTACGTGCTCTGAAATTCCTAGTGATGGATGAGGCTGACCGGATCCTTAACATGGATTTCGAGACAGAGGTAGGAATCTGCTGAAAGAGTTCGGAACACCAGATGAGTCCCTTTAAAATCTCTTCATACAGTCACATAGCAAACACTGAGCTGTTCTCTAGAAATTATGAGCAAATTGTAACTAAGATCTGATAGCTGCACGAAATTCTGTGGTGGGAGTGGAACATAGGGGAGTTCTGCAGAGCATTGCCAAGACAGTAGGAGGCGTTTTGTCTCTGAAATCTACTGATTTCTCTGGAGTGCCTGATGTGGATGCAGTTAATGTAGAACACAATCACACACACATTCCTGCAGAAACTTTGCCTGATATTTGCACTGTTATTGGACTTCTGGGATTCACACTGCCTAATTGTCAACAAGCTATCAGCCTACACCTTCCCTTTAGAAGAGGAAAAATTTGTTCCTACTGTATGTCTGCACATGCATTACTCTTCATGTGGATGATCATTATATTTGGGGGATGCTTGTGTCTTAATATTCATATATTCATAATACTCATAATATTCAGTATTCCCATTTCCTTATCTCTTTTTTGCAGGTGGATAAGATACTAAAAGTGATTCCTCGAGACAGGAAGACATTTCTGTTTTCTGCCACCATGACCAAGAAGGTGAGAGCAGAGTACTCTGCTTTAGTTCTTCCATCAGGCTAAACTGTATTAATACAGGTTTCTGACAAGATCTTTGTCCATCCAGTGCTAACTTACATTGATCTTACCAGGTTCAAAAACTCCAGCGTGCTGCTCTGAAGAATCCTGTTAAATGTGCTGTTTCTTCCAAGTATCAGACAGTTGAAAAACTACAGCAGTACTACATTTTCATCCCCTCAAAATTTAAGGTAATGCCACTTCTGTTTCTTCCCTTTTCTCATTATGTCTTGTCTTCTTCTTCCCACATCTGCCCAGTATCTTGTAATCTTCTGTGGCTTAGACTTAGTCTTTAATGTTGTACATGTGATTATTTTTTTTTTTTTGGTAAATTCTCTCTCTATTTCGTTACAGGACAGCTACCTGGTTTATATCTTGAATGAACTAGCTGGTAACTCTTTCATGATATTCTGTAGTACCTGTAACAATACTCAAAGGACTGCTCTACTGCTCCGCAACCTGGGTTTCACTGCCATTCCTCTCCATGGGCAGATGAGTCAGGTATGGGCATTACCCCACAGAATGGAGCAGACAGGAGACTTGTGGCTTGGGAAATGGGCAGCACCATACCGAGTCACAGCTACCTTTCAGAAGGAGTACTTCACAGCTAGTGGACTAGACTGATCCCTAAAGATTTAACTAATGTGAATGCTGCCACTGATTCTGTAATATTTCAAAAAGAAGTTAGAGAAGTGAGATTTTTGAGTAGCTTCTCCCCTGGTTCTTTTGTGCCGGTATTTCAACAAGAGCATATTAACTAGAATGAGTGTTACTCTCTCATTCCCTTTTTGTCCTCTTCCAGAACAAACGTTTGGGCTCTCTAAACAAGTTCAAGGCAAAGGCACGTTCTATTCTGCTGGCTACTGATGTTGCAAGCAGAGGTCTGGACATACCCCATGTAGATGTGGTGATAAACTTTGATATCCCTACGCATTCTAAGGTAAGCTTGTCTGTGTGTCTGCTGAGAGCTTCTGGTCACCACGACATAGTGAAGGTAGACAAAGGAACAAAGACGTCTTTTTTCTGCTCTTCTGATTGGAAGCCTAGTTCACACTTCTGTAGATTAGAAGGTGTAGTTCAGCCTCTGCAGTTGAGTTGGTATCTCAGTTTGGTTGGATGGCCTCATCTGGATTGTAGAACCGATCCCATACGTGAAAAGGGGAAGTGACGAACATTCTGTGTCTTTGCATTTCTGTTCGGGGTATGCGTTTTGCCATATTGCATTAAAGAGCTTTGAAAACAGTTTTATTATTATTAGACATATTATTAGTCTCATGTGTTCCTGTGATCCAGGTCTGCCTTCATATCTTAAACTGTGTTTTAAAAAAAAAGAAAAAAAAATTCTCCCGTTATGTTCAATGAGCATTTGATCAAGAAAGGTGACTTACATTATGTTTCACCTTCATATCACAGAAGTACAGCAAACTGAAAAGAAAGTGAGTTACTAACTCTCTTATAAAAAGTATAGGATTATATCAGGATTGTTTCCCAGCCTAGTTCCAGAAAGCGTACCATTAACATGCATTTCAGGAATTGCTATTGTTGCTTACAATGATTGAAGATACTATACCTTGCAAACAGAAGAAAGCATGATCTTTCAAAGAACTACTTTTGGTGTTGTAAAAGGACAAACATAAAGAAAAAAAATGGAGGTGGCAGCAGCTTAAGTGATGTTATTACAGTTTCTGTGCTCTTCTTTCTCATCTAACCCTGTCACAGAACACCTCCTTTCTCATGATTCTTTCTCCACAGATCCTGTATGGAGAAGGGAGTATTTTAATTTCTGTAATGCAGTATAAAACCTGGAAAACAGCCTAGAACCGTATTAACAAAAGATGCTCAGGCTCTTCCAAATTATTCTCAATCACCCTCCCTTTCACTGTGCTTGCCAAATTTAAATCTACTTGTCCGAGAGTGTCTCTGGAAGATAGACTATGTTGAGCACTAGATCCTAAGACTGAAAATGCAGCCATGGGCTCACTGTGAATATTACCTTTTCAAGGAAGAGATAGTGAAGTCTCAGCAAAGTCATGTATTGCAACTTTTGTCCTGCAGTCTGGTATAAATGGAGTTGGTCTTCACCTTTAAAAAGAGAAGAATTCAAATGTTAAAACCAAAGATACACCGCAACAAGCCAGCATCTTCTCTAATGCTGATGCTGCACATGGTCCTGAGTGTTTAATCCTGGAGTATTTTCTCCCCATTTTCTTGTTCTTTCCTAAAGAATAATTGTGTAGGCTGATTTTCCATGACATCTGTTCTGTGTTTGGTGAACATATCTTATTGCTTACCAAGAAAATCGTTTTCAGGATTACATTCATCGTGTTGGGAGAACAGCTCGAGCTGGAAGATCTGGCAAATCTATCACCTTTGTCACACAGTAAGTGTTGAAATTTGTCAGACTTATTCTTTCCAGCTCTATTTCAGGGCAGAAAATATCTGACCTCATCCTGGGTGAGAAGAAAATACTACTTTTCATTTTGAGGTGCCAGCTGGTTTTATTTACTTAAAGGGGAGAGAATTCCAAGCCCAGTGTGGGGAGGGAGAAAGGTCTAGAGAAATTCTAGAAGCAGTCATGTAATGAGCAGAACTGTTTATAACTGAATTGTTATACATACATACATTTTTGTAATATACAATACAGCTTAAGTAACTGCAGGGGGTGTTTATAATTACTGAACTGTTTGTCTGAAGAAGTCTTTTCCAAATCCTTCTGAACAGAGACGAGCTGAATAAGTCAGAGAAGCCATCCCAAACAATGGCATAATTCAGATGCAGTTGAGTTGCTTGTGAGACCATCAGCACAATCTATCTGTGGGCTGGAGAGAAAGGATGAATTCTGTGAGTGGTGACAGCTGAAGCACTCTCAGGAGGGCTGATTCAATCTGGTGTCTTGTCTTCTCGCAGGTATGATGTGGAGCTATTCCAGCGCATCGAACACCTGATTGGCAAAAAGCTGCCAGCGTTCCCCATGCAAGAGGAAGAAGTTATGATGCTGACAGAGCGTGTGGCTGAGGCCCAGAGAATTGCTCGAATGGTGGGTGCTGACTTTTTGTCCCTCTGCTCACTGTTGTAATCTGAATTTCCTCAGGTGCCAGAACTCTGGGTCAATCTATTGATTGCATTGCAGGAGCTGCGGGAGCAAGGAGAGAAGAAGCGATCTCGGAATGATAATGATGATGACACAGAAGAAGCTATTGGTGTCAGGAATAAGGTGGCAGGTGGGAAAAAGAAGAAAAGGAAAGCCTTCTAGTTCGATATTCGAACAGACTTTTTTATTTTTCTCTTCATGGCTATATGAGCTGTCAAAAACGGTCTACCAGGCTATCTCCAGTGGATTTTTTTTCAAAACTACATGTGAACTTGGGTGGTCCATGAGGAAAACAACTTCTCTTCTGCTTTACCAGCTACAGATTGAGCTTGGACCATTGTGGTACCATAGTACCAGTCTTCTGTTCAGAGACATCATTAGAGACTGTCTGGACCTGGAAGCAGCTGTGGTCCGGCCCTGCTCATTCACAAAGAAGTGCAGTGTGACTGCAGCTTTTGCATTGCTGCAGCCTGTCTCACTACCCAATCTCACTGAGTGCATCTGGGGTCAGATAGATCTGTCAGAAAAAGTTAAAAGAAGTGACTGAGTTTTCACAGGGATGTGTTATGTGGAGAACTCCAAATATATTTTGCTTAATTTTAAAGCTACCTGGTTCTCCTTGTCTTGTCATTGACCTGTTTTGTTCAGTTTATATATTTGCTCTGCCAGGTTTTCTTCTTAGGTCAATCTTAGCAATTCACATGTGACATCAATACCTTAGTATGTCAGCTGAAGAGTGGCCCAGCACGGGAGCATCAGTTTTGGCAGGAGGCTATTCACTGCTTGAAATTCCTTCCAGAATCTGTAATGATTGACATGATACAAGGAAAGGTCTGGATTTTGGGTGGGGTTTTTGCTGCTGATTCTTGTAGTACTTATAAACGAACACAAGAGGGGGGTATTAACATAGGAAAGCTGCTCACAAGCGGGGTAGTAAAGAAAAACGGGTATCATAGAAGTTCTGTTTCCCTAGTTATTTCTCTGTGTTAGGCAGAGTTCCATGCCATATAAGTAGACTCTTGCAAGAACGGGATAAGTGTACTTACCTTCATATCTAACCAGGTTAGTGCTAGTTCTCATTGGCAATAAAAAATTTCAAACTGGATGTTTTTGCTGGTGGGCAGAGAAGAATGAAAAGCTCCTCTATATCACTCAACATGAGAATTTAATGTCCATTAGAACCACTCATAAACTGGATTTTCTGCTACATGAAAAACAATGTTCACAATAGTCTTTTTTAGATCTAGATTGAAAGTAGAAACTATTGCAGTAGTTGATGAGCACAGTGGTTATTTCACATTGTCAGGATAAATCTAGTATACACTTGTATGCTAGTCAGAATGCTTTTATGCTTTTGTTAGAGGCAGCACATTTTGCAAAAAAATCCAAAAACCATGGGTCTGTTTCTTCATGAGGAACAGACATACTCTCTGGTGCAAGAAGAGTGCCAGTTGTTCTCACTTAGTCCTTTTTATTTTGTAGCAGTTTATTCAACTCTCCCAAATATCTTCACGTTTGATAGCTCTAAAGTTGTCCAAGATCAGTGGCAGATAGTAAATTAACAAATCTTGGATATGTTGACTGCTAAGAGCATTCTTGTAGAGCAGGAAATGTTATTTTCCGTGGGTCCTAGCACAGAGAGGCAGGAGTGGAAGCCCAGAAATTTGAACATAGAATCATAGAATCAGCTGGGTTGGGAAAGACCACTGAGATCATCAAGTCCAACCCTTGATCCAACACCGCCGTGGTTACTAGACCATGGCACTAAGTGCCACATCCAGTTTCATCTTAAAAACCTCCAGGGACCATGAATCCACCACCTCCCTGGGCAGCCCATTCCAATGTCTGATTACCCTCTCTGTAAAGAATTTCTTCCTAATATCCAACTTAAACTTGCCCTGGCAGAACTTAAGACCGTGCCCTCTTGTCCTACTGCTGGTTGCCTGGGAGAAGAGACCAACACCCACCTGGCTACAACCTCCTTTCAGGGAGTTGTAGAGAGTGAGGAGGTCTCCCCTGAAGCTCTTCCAGGCTAAACAACCTCACCTCCCTCAGCCTCTCCTCATAGGACTTGTGCTCAAGTCCCTTCACCAGCCTCATTGCTCTTCTCTGAACCTGCTCCAGCACCTCAGTGTCCTTCCTGAACTCACCAGCGCTGAGTACAGGGGAAGAATCACTGCCCTGATCCTGCTGGCCACACTGTTCCTGATACAGGCCAGGATGCCATTGGCCTTCTTGGCCACCTGGGCACACTGATGGCTCATGTTCAGCTTCCTGTCAATCCAAACTCCCAGGTCCCTTTCTGCTTGGCTGCTCTCCAGCCACTCTGTCCCCAGCCTGTAGTGCTGCAGGGGGTTGTTGTGGCCAAAGTGCAGGACCCAGCACTTGGCCTTGTTGAGCCTCATCCCGCTGGAATCAGACCATCTCTCTGGCTTGTGCAGGTCCCTCCAAAGAGCCCTCCTGCCTTCCAGCAGATCAACACTTTCCCCTCAGCTTGATGTCATCTGCAAATTTCCTAATGGTATGCTCTATCTCCTCATCTGGATCATCAATAAAGACATTAAATAGAACTGGGTCCAACACTGATCCCTGGGGGACACCACTAGTGACCAGCCACCAAGTGGATGCAGCTCCGTTCACCACCACTCTCTGGGCCTGGCCCTTCAGGCAGTTCCTAACCCAGCACAGAGTGCCCCTGTCCAAGCCGTGGGCTGCCAGCTTTTCCAGGAGTATGCAATGGGAGACAGTGGCAAAGGTTTTGCTGAAGTCCAGATAGACCACATGGTAATTCTGTGGGGCCATTTGGTAGGAAACCCCACAGGTAAGAGGATACAGCCCTAGAATGTACCCAAGAGAGAGGAATAAAATGAATGAGCTTTGTGGGTGGGGATGCAAATGCTTGTTCCCCACAGAGCAAGGGAACACTCCCAACTGGTCTTCTGTCCTGCTGGGTGCTTGAACAAAATTTCTTATTCTTCACAAGCAGGACAGGGTTGGTTCCAGTATCAGCAAAGGAAACTTAAATCCTTCTGAGGGTCCTGGGACCCTGGAAAAGCTCTTGAGTGTTATTCCCAGCTATGTAAGGGATGGGATGCATAGTCAGCCCTGAACCAATCTTGTAAGGTGATGTGAAGGGCACATGACTGCTGGAGGAGGTAGGGCACAGTAATTTCCCTTCAGAAGTAGCATGATGCTTGCTTTAATGGCTTCTTGGAGTCTGTAGCATCTCTCTGTGTTCTTTCCTATATGGCAGGCTGCAACAGCAGCAGTCTTGCCCCTTGATGGGGTCAAAGATTCTCTATCCCTCCTCTGCAGTTGCAATATTGGAGAAGCAGAGCTGCTCATTGTGAAAGGTTACAGAGCCTCCTTGAGAGGAGTGACTCCTAGACAGCTGGCCACCTCCCTTGATTTGGAATGACAAACCACAGAAGCATTTGTCGCTAGGAAAGCAAAGGTCTCACCACACCCACATTCTCACTGGTGCCTCACCTGCCACAGGTATGTGCATTCAATTTCAACTAAAAATACCTCAACAGGTTGGAGGGGCAGGAAATGGGTATTTTATTGTGACTACTTCAGGAGGGCTGGGTCAGAGGGTGTTTGTATAACTGAAGTGGAATAGGGAGTGTCCAAAGATGTATTGGGTCAAAATAGAATCTGCAGCCAGCCTAAGCAAAATCTGTAGCTGATCTAATGAAACACGAGGGGAAAAGAATGAAGTGAGACCTGTCTCTGGATAAAAGTTCAGAAAATACCAGCACTGGTATGTGCATGACTGCATACTTTTGTACAACAACTGCTTTCAGTGTATTTGTTCAGTCAGGAGGACTTCTGACAAGCAGGTCTGAAGCACACCCCTGCACACCTCTTGAGTTTTGCGCAGCAGGGAGCTGAGTGGAGGATTAACCTTAGTGTGATGTAAGGTAGGATTGGGCTAACATAACCTGTCATGATTTTGTAGTTGAAACTCAAGTGAAGTTTCAATAAAAGCTGTGTTCTTGAAAAACGTTCTGTGGGGATGTTGGCAGTTTGAAACCATTCTACACTTTCTACGTTTGTGATAAGAAGGTGATTGTTTATGCATTTGTAACACATATTTTAAATTACGTTTTATAGTTTTGATTTTTCGTACTGCATAGGTGACTACTTCAGGCACTAACAAATAGGGATATAGTGGCTTTCATTTAAGTGTTCTAGACCTGACGGAAGTGGGACAATCCTTTTGAGGGGAGAAGTAAAATTAAACATTGATGTCAGTGTGGATAACTAACTCCAAGATAAGTTGACGATAGCTGCAAAAAAGTAGCAAGCAATCCCTACAACCACACAGTGGTCCAGCGCAGAAGCTGCACTGAACTGACCTGTCTGAAGAGAATCTGGCCGTGTCAGTTCCTCAGTGCCATGCACCTGCTGCCCAGGGGCTGCAAGGGAAGACACGGGCCGGAAAGCACAACTGGGAACCACAGTGGGGAATCCAGGGCTTTTTTCTGTGATGGCAGCCTGAGCCTAAGTCTGCTTAAAGTAACCATGAGGCACAGAGCTTGTTCAAGGGCCTGGCAACCTGCCTGCTTCCCCTCCCCCTAAAAAGGTAAAGATAACTAGAGAGGGAGAGCTAAATACCATGACACTCTCACAACATCATTAACCTGTGCTGAGAAGAGTCTCAGTTTAGGAGGGAACTCTCAGAAATAATTGGGAATCTGGAGGGCCTTAGTTTACCAATCAGGACTGAAGTTAGTAAACATTTCCAGTTTGGACAAGCACAGAAGAAGGAAAATATCCAACACACTTAAAAGCCCTTGGACATACTTAAGAAGGAATGGAATTGATTGCATGACCTATGAAAGACACAGGCATGTACCAAGCATTTTGATGCTGTTTAAATGTGAAGTTGTGGTTTGCCTGCAATGACATGTGAGGAGCTTCTGTAAACATTCAAGTGAGCAATTAGTTATTGTAAATGTTGCAGAGGAAATGCTGTAAAAATCCAGCTTTGGTGCCAGACCTAGTCCATGTAGTCATTCTGAATTCTTACTCCTCTAGCTTTTGTACTTACCAGTAGATTTTTTGGGGAAAAAAACAAAACCAATTCCTGTAAATATGGAGAATCAGAATATGAGTTTCTGACAGAATCCCAAGCTCTGGGTTAACTCTTGAACTTTAAGAAAACCAAGTTAAAAGACACTTTCTTATTTTTCAGTTGGCTTTTTCTCCGGTCTGACTAGGAAAGCTCTTTCTGAATAACAATATTTAAGAGGAAGAACTAAGGATGTTTTGTTCCTCTGGCACCTAAGAAATAGAAGTGGTTGCTTGATCTCTGGCCCAAGGATGAATACAGCCATGCCTCTAGTGCTGTATTTCTTCCTGAGGACCCTTCAGATATGGAAACTTAGGACGATGACATAACTCTTTCTGCTTCCAAAGCCCCCCTGGGTGTATATGCCTTCCTGAACATGGTAGTTGAGTATATGCCATGTCTCATGGTAGGATGTGTGTTGGACTGTGCCAAGGTTATGCCTGCTTGTGCAACAGGAGACAGTGGTACTGTGCAGTTTTCAGATATTGATATTATAGGTCCTCAGGGAGGGGTGGATGCCTTTGGAGCTTG